AAAGCAGCAAAGCCAACATTATGAACTCTTCAAATAGAAAGTAACACTGGCAAACACATCTCATGTTCTGAATTACAAAGGGAAGCAATTAGCTTCAACAGATGCCTCTACTACTTCCTTTCTCTTGATAAGGTTCCTGGCTTAACACATAACCCGGGGTAGGAATAGTTTGCTTTGTAAGCGTGCTGCTCGGAAGAGAAACAAATGCAAGGTGTTGCAGAGAACTGATATAGTAACTCAGTGCCACTGTGCTTGAGAACACTCCCGTCTGTGAAAGGACTAACCCTGCAGGATAGCCACCCTGGAACAAATACACCACATCTGTAGAAGTAAATGCAAAGATCAGGAAATCCCACCTAGATTCAAGCAAAAGCAAACTGTACCACTGACTCACAGTGAAATCAGGGGGATTAACCTGCATGGACACAAAACATCGTGACTTCTAAATGTTCAAGTTGTACCCTCCTCCCATTTACAGTGGCTAAAATATTCAAAGGAGACACAAAAAGAATTAGTAATACATGGAAATATGTTCCAGTATTCCAAGCTAAATCTATCATTGTATTGTGTATTACTATAGATGATGCCTGGGCAAGATATCCAAGCAAACAGAAGCTCTTCATGGTTGCTCTGCTTTGCCTCCTCAAGTCCATCAGTAACAGCACTGACCTGCTGTGCCCACATACACAAAGCTGCCACCACTAAATCACACAGGTAGCAAAACGAAGCCAATTAGAGAAAAGACACCACTTGTCCACACCATCGATCCAATCACTGAGACATAAAGGCAGTGCTGGAAATGGCTGTCATTTTCACACAGGGTGTTAGCAGTCCCACAGGGAAGCAGCACACAGCGACTGCACAACGTGCAGCTGGCCCCAGCACCTACCACTGAGCAGTCGTGGCTTTTTCCTACTCCTCTTAGTGCAACAGGAAAGACAAGAGGCAGCCCGAGAGCTGACCAGTATCAGTTGTTGCTGGCAGATCCTATTTCAGTTTTTGTTCTCTCCTAAGAAGACAGAGAACAAGCAAATACCTTGGGGTACTGCATTTTTCTGATACTTCCCATTACAATAATTACTTCAACTGATACTGCTTTCAGATAACATTCCTTGGGAAAACCTTAAAATGAAGGCAGGTTTTATCATTTCTGAGGAACAGGAAAGGAAAAAAAAGCTGTGTTGATTTTCCATTTCTTTTTATTTCCATTCTATACTCGTTTGTTCATTGAACTACTATGCTTTCAATTTATTATTAACTAAAACAGGCCAGCTGGTAATCTATACTTTGAGAACTATACCTCTATATATCTCTTTTAAGACATTTCTACATAGGGCAGGCAACAGAGCTGCAATGAACCACAGTCTGCATACACGTGTGGTGCTCTTCAGCTCCAATTTAACTCTGCAAAGTTCACCTGCACTCAACAAACACCAGTGAAAGGCAACCCAGTCCTATCCCTGCACCTGCAGCCAGCCTAATTAGGGTGTGGTGAAGGCATGAACAAGCTTGCTCTCACCTCACTCTGAGTGCACCAAGCAATTATTTCCTTGTCTAGCAGAGCTCAAAGCTTCTGGCTAATCTGAAGATGTTAGCAAGACGTGGAGCTTGATGATCACAGCGACTGACGACAGCCAAAGCTGGCAGTGCTTTTGTTACCTGTCTCTTTCATGGAGTCCCACACCATGCTGATAAGCAAATGAAAGCTTTCCTCTTGACAGGGCCTTCAGTCTGTGCAATACTAGCTAGCTGACCAGAGAACAAGTACTGACAGAATGAACAATGCAGAAGGAGCTGAATAAATGATTTTTTTGATCTCACCCTGCTTCACTATCCTTAATACCACTGGCAACCATTTATTCAAATACTGGGAGGATATAAACAGAGATGAACAGCATAAAGAAGCCCACACAGAAGTAATCAATGCAGACCTCAGAAATAATCTGCAGCATAAAGGCAGAGGGCCACACACTGAACAATGATGAGAAAACAAAATATTCAATAGCTACTCATTAAGCAAATACCATCCATCCTCGCAGTAAATGAGTCTGTGGAAAAAAACTAGGCTGTAATCACAAAATTAAAGACTGTCTCATAATGTATATGCATAGGGAAATTAAAGCTGCCAGAGTAAGGCTGCTTGTGCATTCCCTAACTTTGGCTGTTTGACTTCGCAGCTTTAATAATCTACTTCTAAAGCAGTTTTGGGTGTAGAATATCTAAATTTCCAAAGTATTTGTACACAAATTTGTTACAGCCCTCTGATTGCTAGTGGGATGCCAGCACAGCCCCTCCTGCCATGCAAGCTGGGTGCTGCTGTGCTTGCAAAGCTGTCAGAAAAACACAGCAAGAGGAGAGCAGCGTTATGTGGGACGGTGGTGCTCTCTGCTGGGCAAGCAGCAGCATGACAGGCACTCAGCACTAAGGCCAAGCTGCTCGAATCCCAGCTCCACGGAGATGACCTGCTCATGGCCCAAACGGTGGCCCAACACTCAGGGAGTCTACGTGCAGACTAAATCCTCGGTCAGCAGATATTACAAAACACACCCATTCTGCATTTCACGTGAATCAGGCGGAGATTCAGCCTAACTATCCCCTAAGATGTTGTTTCCATGGTAGGAGGTGTTTGCAGCTGTTTACTTGTAGATACACTGACATTAAACACAGGAAAACTTAAGAAAATGAACTTTCCTTTTACCATTGGGAAAAAGTAGCCTCATGCTTGCATAATTTAAAGAATCTTTTAGGTTAAAATTGTATTCTAGAAAACAGATAATGACATACTGCAAATCTGAGCACATGTTCTGTGCAATTTAAAACTAGCTTAAATTTTATCATAGAATCTTATCATAGAATGGCCTGGGTTGGAAGGGACCTCAAGGATCATGAAGCTCCAAATCCCCCGTCACAGGCAGGGCCACCAACCTCCCCATTTCACAGCAGCCCAGGCTGCCCAGGGCCCCATCCAACCTGGCCTTGAACACCTCCAGGGATGGACGGGGCATCACAGCCTCTCTGGGCAGCTGTTCCAGCACCTCACCACTCTCACAGCACACAACTTCCCCCTGACATCCAACCCCAATCTGCCCTCCCTCAACTTCAAACCATATCCCTTGTCCTGCTGTTATCTGCCCTTTCAAAGAGTTGAGTTTTACCAAGCAAGCTATCTATTTTTGCATTTCATAGAATCCCAGCATGGCCTGGGTTGCAAAGGCCCACAGCGCTCCTCCAGTCCCAACCCCCTGCTGTGTGCAGGTCGCCAACCAGCAGCCCAGGCTGCCCAGAGCCACATCCAGCCTGGCCTTGAATGCCTGCAGGGATGGGGCATCCACAGCCTCCTTGGGCATTTCTTATTGTTTGGGTAGGGGGCAAAGGAAATCACTGTGAAAAGGACCAAACCACTCTTTTCTAATGAGCCCAATATATCTCAGATGATTTCTTCCCCACACAGCCCTAACTGATTAAGCATGAGAGAGTGAGGGATTCTGATAATTGCTGCTGAAACAAACAAAAAAATCCAGTATCAGAAAACGCACTGTTAGCACAGGACTGCCCAAATTCAGGGCACACACCAAATCAACACACTGTTTCAAGTGTAAGTTGCCTGTGAGCTTTTCTTTTTCTTATGCAGATCACAACTCCAATATGACTGGATAGCAGGGTTAAAGTTCCAAAACTGCTGTGTGAACCAGCTAACTGCACTCACACTGCATTTTACCTACGAGCAACACATGACAGAGGCTGACAGAGCTCAGAACAGAGGATCTGAACAGGGCTGGAATGAAGATAAGAAAGTCAGATTGGCAAACGATCACAAGAAGCAGTCTATGGAGCAACTCAAACACAGAGCAGCAATCTAGGAAGGATAGAATTTGGCTCAATTCTAGGATATTTCATCAAATCTTAATGCTTATGACTGCTGTGTTTTGAATAAGTAAGTGCAAGCAAGCTGTCACTGGAGAATGCTGCACTGTACAACCCAGAAAGCAAAGAGTGGTCTCATTTCAACTCTTGGTCCCAGTACACTCCCATGGTACTAAAACTACATGCAGACACACTGGTGAGGTGCTGCTATCTGACCTGTCAATTTGTACAAGCAGAAAATACTTGTTAAGGAAATGCACACCGAACTCAAAACTTGAGTTTAAAATACACATATGAAGAGCCCAGTTCTTCCTGATAAAAGGGAATAGAATCACAACCACTATTCTCCTTTTGGGACACTACTGGAACTAGCTGAACCTTCACCCATGTAACAGGCAAGGGTAAAATATTTGACAAAGTCAAGTCACTCAGAAAACAAATCTTGAGTTGAAATGAGAACATGAGAGAGGTTTTAGGACAGAGAGAGAGCTGTAAAACATGTTTCCCTGAAATACCTCATACTGTCCACTACCAGAGACAAAGCACAAAAGCAGAGAGAGCTGGCATCCAATCTGCTAATTGCAGAGACTCAGTAAACTGCAAAGATGCCACCCTCAAATAAAGAAGAGCTGAGACTGACTTGCTCTCCACTTGAGAATGAAATGGGTGACATCACAAAATCACAGGGAATGGAAGGAACCTCTGGAGATCACCAAGTCCAACTTCCCTCTAAAGCAGTTCCTTACAGCAGGTTGCACAGGGAAGCATCCAGGCAGGGTTCTGACTGTCACCAGAGAATCCACAGAATCACAGAAGGGACCTCAAGGATCACAAATCTCCAACCCCCCTCCCACAGGCAGGGCCACCAGCCTCCCCATTTATACCAGACCAGGTTCTTGTCATGTTCAGAGAACACTGTGCCAGGGAATATTACATAAATACTTTTAAAGAAAAGGAAAGAAAGCAATGGAAACGCCTCAAAAACATCTCTGTAGTCAAGAAGGGAATTCCCAACAACTTTTTTTAAAGGAATGCCACTGACAGACCTGAATGATGTGAAAATAAATAACACATAATGAGAATTAAAATAGAAAAGCAGGTGCAGAAGTGTGCAAACAGAACAAAGTGACACTGACCTCAAGCCTCTTTTCAAGTGACTCTATCCTGTCTTTTTTGCTGGCCAAGTTAGCTCTTGTGTAGCGACTCTGTCCAGGCAGATATAACACTTGGCTGTAACATTCTTCCCACACCTGGTTATAAGCCTCACTTGAGAGCTCGCCATGCCCCATTCCTTGCTTCACCACTTCCATTTCTTGTGCCAGTAGATCCTGTGCCTGTTGGAAATGAGAAATAAACTAATTACAAAACACAGGTAGGAGAAAAAAATCCTAGGGATTCTGATGTTCCCAGACAAAAATTTCTAGACTACACAACAGTCTTTAAGGGAAGTGACAGACAACTGAATTCCTCTTGCATTCAAAACAAACCAGAGAAAGCACTCAGAGAGCGTTCCCAGTGGAACAATCTGACATAGGCAGGACAGTGAGATTCTTGATCTAGCTGCATTTTCCACCTTTTATTTCTCCTGCTAAGAAATTTTCGAGTATAAGTTTTCATTTAACAGCAATTTGAAGTACATGCTGTTCAGTATTTCTCATTTTAGGCTGTTGATTGATTAGTCAGATACAGTCAAGGAGATGGGTTTAAAATCTGCACATTTATCCATAAACTCACTTTAAAGTAATGAGATTTAGGTGAAGATATAACAGCTGTTGTCAGAATGCAAGCTGCAGATAGCAGGAATCAGCTTAAAACAGATGATTTGGTGGCACGTGATTTTACCTTTATTTTTATCATCACCCCTCTAAGCATTTGGTAAAAGGTTACTGGCACAAGTATACAGGTGAAGTTCTTTGAAAGAGCTAACCATAGCACTGTGTGTCTAAACACTCTGTCACTTGGCAGCAAATGCAACATCTGTAGCTGCTTCCATAGAAGAGCCAAACTGGAACTGGGCTCAGGACTATTTAGCTTGGAATTACAATGCAAAAGACAACAGAACACCCAGACAGCCTCCTCGTTTCACCCAGTGGCAGCCTGCTCTGCTTATTCAGCACTCTAAGCAGGTATGCTTTGAAGATCAGTTGCCACAGCAGGCTCTGCTCCAGCACAGCGTTGTTGGATCAAGCATGAGAAGCATAACTGGATAATTCTACTGCTCCATGTGGTAAGCAGGCTATCAATGTCATATTCAGTCTGTACTAAGAGATCACCCAACTCAGCACAGGCCTGACTCCACCTTTTACTACAAGATTACAGAACTGTGACATAAAATGACCACAGGTCAGTGGTAATTAGGCTGTGTAATTCTCACCTTCTTGAGATCCTCTTTGGAGAACTTCTCATAAGGGTTTTGTTCCAAGTAAGCCATATGTTCTGCATTGTTGGTTCCAAATCCTGGGCCTTTCCCCTTCTTACCAGCAGGCTGTTCTCCAAACGGGTGGTGTAAAAGGTCAAAATGAAGCATTGTAATCATCTCTTTCTTTATTAGCTCTTCACTTCTCTGCAAATCTGTTAGAGGTGGCTCTACATTCACGGGTCTCAATACTGTTTCATTAACCTGCATAAGAATAAACAGGTTCACAAACAATGTATGTTACATTCTATCTGAACAAGATTTCTTTTCATCAGTTAAATCAAATAGACTTGGTGCCAAAAACCCTTGCTGTATGACACAGATCGAGCAACCAGAATCCAGTCACATTTTCAGCTGTGCATATGAAAAACCTCTTGATATTCTCACTGTGAAAAGCTGAGTTCAGCATACTAAAGAAAGGATTTTATCCTTTCACTGTATACTTAAATGCATTTCCTCCTTTAACAATTAAAACCTTTTTTTTTTTCTTCCTTGAAAATGAATGTTATTTTCACTTACTTCTGAGGGTCTTGGTAGATTTTTCTGAACAGCTTTGTGCATTCTCTTCAGCTCCTTGGCTCTCTCTGCATCTCGGAGAGCCTACACAGACATGCTAAAGGTTACTTCAGCTACTGCAATAAAATCAAATGCTTCCTACAGATACATGTGATAGAAAAACCAACTGATTACTGCAGCAAAGATTCCATAAAGAACAAAGACCTCATGTTACGAACCCAGAGCCAAGTTAGAGCTCAATTATGTGATGACATCATAATTAATATCCACTCATGTTCATGATAAGAAATTAAGAGGACAGCAATCCTAACATGCATTTTCAAGCCATCACGTTTTCCTTCATCCCGAAAAGAGTTCTTTACCAATTTCTCAACATTAAGTTTTAATTCTACTGTAACTCTCCAGACAGGAAATCACAGAATCGTAGAATCCTTAGAGTTGGAAGGGACTTTTAAAGGTCTTCCAGCCCAAATGCCCTGCAATGCACAGGGACACCACAGCTACATCAGTTTGCCCAGGGCCTGATCCAGCCTTGCCCTGAAAGTCTCCAGGGATGAGGCATCCACCACACCTCTGGGCAACCTGTGCCAGTGCCTCACCACCCACACTGCAAAAGACTTCTTCCTTATATCCAGTCTAAATCTACCCTCCTTAAGCTTGAAATCTGCTATTAAGAGAGATTTTTAAATCTGTAGCCAACACTTTCTGTCCCCCTCTATGACATACACAGTATTTTTCCCTATGTTCCACTTTCTACATATAAAGGATACACATAACATGAAAATACTGGCTATTAAAGCTACCTAATTAGCAGAACAGAGGTTTAAAGCTACTATTTCCTACAGGCTTCTATAACTCCGAAACAACAACAAGGATCTAGTCACAATTTCTCTGTCTGGATAATCCTGTAGTAATCTCCTATAAACTGACCAACTCACTGCACAGTTACTTCTTTATTTTCTACCAGTCTGCCTGAATTTGAATGCACCTCTTAGGTCTTCCAAAGAATAACTTTTAACCTTGAGTGTAACCTGACACTGAAAAAAGCACTATAATCACATGCTTAATTTTAAGCACGTACCTCTGCTGAAAAATGTTTTTAATGATATGTTTTACCCTGAGGGAACAAAAGAAGACTATCATAAAAGAAAAGGAGCACCACATAGCATTAACTGGGTAGGAAAATGATTCAGAGTGAAAACTGACTATGCCTGCATGTGTGTGTTCACTCTGATGGCAGGTAGAAAGCAAGCACATTTTAGCCTCTTATTCCACAGAAGCTGTACAACTTCCACTAAACGTGTATGAAACTATGAGAAACATACAAGGACCACGCTGTATTTTAAAGAAAAGACACTCTCTGCATTACATATCTACCTGCTTGCGGGCTTCTATATCAGCAGTATCTTCTACAAAGGCTTCATCTACTTCAGGTTCCTCAAGTTCTTTCTCTGCATTTTCGGGTAGAACGATCTCAAAGTCATTCTTTGGAGCAGGAAGGGCCATGAGCCCCAGGCGAAGGTGTTCACGAGACTCCCTCTCCTGTTGGAAGAGTGGTAAGATATGTTTCTGAATTCAGGCACTGATGAAGAGTATGACAGAATTCCATTCATCTTCATCAAAGGACATGCACAACACACAAGTACTACACAAAGCCAATAAAACCTGAATTTCTGAGGTCTGACAGAAGAGACATGTTACCAAACCAAGCTAGCCTAGAAAACACTACCCAGAATGTATCCACATAAATGCTCTCTGATGCTAAAAGCAACATAGAGGTTTCTTAAAGACAGCTAACAGAGTCTCCAAACAAGCTGAAATATACTGAAATATATAGCATGGCATCTTCACCTTCCAGCAGTGTCAGAACAAGTGCAGAGATTCACAGAAATGCCTTTTAGGAAACTGAAAATAATGTGAAAATGCATTCCCTCTCATGCATTTGTAGGCCTAACTTTATTTTTTTTTTTTCATTGCTGTTGATCCCAGCTTTGTGGATCATTGTACTGAAAGAAAATGGAAACAAACACCACCAGATCTGGAAGTTCATCAAGAACCCAAAGTCCCAGAATTCCTTCTAACAGCGAAAGGCTTTACTTCAAACAGACTAAACCAGAACCAAAATACGTACAAGGATATCAAATAAGCCTTGTTTTCAAGCAATGATGAAACTCCGATGTCTAGAAGTTATTTTATGAGATGAACATACCAAATACTTGAGATGAATATTCTAAGCTACCCCAAAAAGAACAATCATCAATAGCTCTTATAGGAGACATCCAAAGTTATGGTTAAGGCTGCACAATCAGCCACATAAAAAGAGTTCCCAAGGTGCCACCTGTTAATTAAAAGCTCTTTTTATACCAAGACTAATTGGCAGGGCACCTCTGGCACAATCTGCGGGAATGGAAACATCTGTTGCCCAAGACAAGAGTCTGGATGGCATTCAGATCACTGGACATCTCCACAGTGCTACTAATGGCAAAAACTCCTCTAGCTCAATGCTGCTAATGGGACAGATCAAAAGGTCCTGTAGGAGAACTGGCAAGTGAGGATGATGAAGGATTTGAGGGCTAAGCATAACTGCAAGAAAACTGAATGCTTCTTTAAGGTACATTTCCTGCTCAGCTTCGAAGATTCAAGTAGTACTGAAACTTAACTATGTCTTCTTTGATGAATAATTCTGGAGTGCTTTCACTAGGTGCAAGCAAAGCTGTTTTAATCAGAAAAAAATCTGTTTTTTTAAAGGAATTATTGATGTTATGACAGTGCAAAGATTTGAGTTTACCAGGTGATGACCACCGACAAGCAGCAGAAATAACAGTTTACATAAAATAAAGTTCTGTTTAGAAGGCAACAAATTAAAAACCCCGACAGTTCACAGAGCATTTAACTTCAATTCTTACCATCTGCTTTGCATAAGATGGGTCACTGTAATCTGCCATGCCCTCTTCTGGGTTGATGTTCAATTTATCACGCAGCGGAGTTCTACCAGGAGTTGTACCAGCCACTGGTTTAGGAGTCAGCCCTCCACGAGGAGTTAAGCCTTCTTGTCCTTGGGAAGGTGTTCTGGAGGAAGTGCAAATACAATTTTGTTTTGTTTTCCCCAAAGAACACAACTTTCTGATGTCTGAGCACCGCAAGAAGTTCCACGACACAACTGATCAATTCAATCTATGCCCTGTGTGTACGGCCACGAGGCAGTGAAAACTTCAGATGCAATCAGAAGAAAAATCTATCAAGGTGTAACCAAAGACCTGTTAAGCTGAAACCCAAACACATCATCACATTAAGAGAAGTTTCAGCAACTACATCAACCCCCTGTTGCAGCCATTGGGAAGAGATCATTCCTGTCAAATATCCTGTGGTAATTAGGATTTAAATGCTGCCTCTCATTTCCCTGCCACCTGGGGCCAGTCATTCACTCTGAGCTCCTACAGTGTAACAGCTGTCCTATCTTATAAAGTAATGGATTGCTCTGAAAGTGCTGCTTCCCTTTCACTGCTAATTCAAGGATAACTCTATCACATAAATTACTTTTAAGCATACAAGGTTAGGAAAAATGGATGTTAGGGGGAAGTTCTTTACAAGGAGAGTGGTGAGGCCCTGGAACGGGCTGCCCAGGGAGGTTGTGGATGCCCCGTCCTTGGATGTGTTCAAGGCCAGGTTGGACGGGGTCCTGGGCAACCTGATCTGAATGTGTGTGTTTGGTGGCCCTGCTAGGCAGGGGGGTTGGAACTACATGATCCTTGAGGTCCTTCCAACCCGGGTGATTCTGTGATTCTGTGATTCTGTGAAAAATGAATTATGTCTTAAATTCCATGGGCCTTACTTGCTTCTCTTCTAGATTATTCCAATAACCTCCTCCCTGAAAAATTACAGGATATACAGACGTGGCCTTGGATAGGCACAAGTTTTCTCTTGCCTACTTAGGATGAGATTTCATGTGGTGATGGTAACAGTTTAAAAACAAAAATAAAATGTGAAAAGGGACTGTTAAAGAAGCAGAAAAAACCATCTTCATGTTTTCAAATGGTGATAGGTGGATGGTTGGCTAGATGATCTTGACCATCCTTTCCAACCAAATCACAATTCTATAAAATGAATGTTTCATATTATATATATATACTTACTTGATTATGCTAGCAGAAAAAGCTTTATGCTAACTTTCCAGAAAAAAATATTTCTAGGTAAGTGGATTCTTTTTTAGCTGTCTCAATTCCACCCACATTATAAGATTCAATGTTATAACATAATTCTTAGAACTAGGACCTGACAAAATAAAATCTAATGGAGGGCACAACCTCTCAAGGTATTGGATTTTTACACTAACACTGAACTTTTATCAAGAAACCAAGCTGATACAAAGCTGTCATATTTACATGGGTAAACCTGAACTTCAGAAGCTGAAAAAACAAAGCAATACTCCCATACCTCAGAAAATACAAATATTTTTAATATACAATGACCCAAACTAACATCCAGATCCCCCCAGGACATTTCTAGTCATTCTACACCTCACTTACTCCAACAGATCATTCGTGTAGATTCATTAAAAGCACAGGGCTTTTGCATACAGCTTTTAACAAAACAGAACTGCTTTTGAAAAGCTGCCATAAAGGTCCCTTTTACTTCATTCTCTACTTCTACTGGCACGATACAAGTCAAAATAGAACTTAGGTTGAAAAATTTGACAGACAAAATGTACCAAGCATATTATTTTTTAGCTCTATGGTATTTGGCTCTTGTGGGATATATATTTATTCAGGACCCACTCTCAGAGTTAAACCAACAAGCCCATACTATTTAGATTGGCAATATAAGGAATATTTAATTTTGGATTTATATGGCTTATAAAATATTTACCCCAGCTTTTCAAAAATTCCAAATGGATTTGGCTAAAGGACCTCCCACCTTCAGCTCAGAGCTAATGCTTTGGAAAAGCTAGAATCCACATATGGAATGACATGCCACCTTACTACTAATGCTCTGGTATTGCTACAATACAATTTATATTGCTGTAGAGTACAGAGCACCTCATCCTGGACCAAACATGACTGAGTTTGGAGCAGCTCTCCTATGAGGAACGGTTGAGGGAACTGGGCTTTTTCAGCTTGGAGAAGAGAAGGCTGTGGGGGGACCTCATGGTGGCCTTCAGTGCTTGAAGGGAGTGGATAAACAGGAGGGGAACGGCTGTTTGTGAGGGTGGGTGGTGATGGGACAAGGGGAATGGTTTTAAAGTGAGACAGGGGAGGTTTGGGTTGGATATGAGGAGGAAGTTTTTCATGCAGAGGGTGGTGAGGCACTGGCACAGGTTGCCCAAGGAGGCTGTGGATGCCCCATCCCTGCAGGCATTCAAGGCCAGGCTGGATGTGGCTCTGGGCAGCCTGGGCTGCTGGTTGGTGACCTGCACACAGCAGGGGTTGGAGCTGGAGTACTGTGGGCCTTTGCAACCCAGGCCATGCTGGGATTCTATATGTTGCACACAGTAGAAATAGCAATGAAGATAACGTGGCTGAGTTTGCAAAAAACAGAAAATGAAAAAGTTGTTCAATATATGCTTGAAACAAAAGAGAGCTGAAACTCATTTTGCAGTGCTGATCTGTCTCTTCACACAGACACCCACTTCCCCACCCCATCACATAGGTGCTCAGCCAAGCAGCCACTGGAAGAAGAGTCTGCTTTACCTGAATGGTGTTGAAAGCACAGTATTTGGAGTCTGAACAACCTGCCTCTGCGGGGTTACCCCTGAGAAGTCACTTTCATGCAGGGGGGTGTTAAGACCTCCTTTCAACGGCGTATCCACATTTGTGAGAGCCATAAGATTCTGTGCTTCCTGTAAACCACACAACACACAGTATGTTACTGAGACGTGGAGGGTCACACTACTATGTACATTTACCAGGTTCACTAGCAGTAAGACTAACTGAAGTCATTTGAATATCAAATCAAACTGTATAAAATGTTTAGCACTTCTATTACACCAGTACACTGGATATTAACAAACCATTATGTTCTGCAGAAAGGCATTCTAATTTTGGCTTGCTAGACTCCATAAATTTAAAAGATTCATCAGTCATCTTAAAGATCCTAAAGATTCCACAAGAAATATCACACTGATACCCTGAAAATTCACATCAACCAAGGCCTAAGATCATCCAAACTGCACTTCAAAGATATTTCCCCACCACACTTCTAACTTTGCCTGTCACCATAAAGAATTAAGGCACACAAAAAATAAGCTGAGGTAAAGAAACTACTGCATATAGCAGAAAATAGTTTGATAATCCTTAAGTGTTTTTAAGCAAATAAAGTGCTAGGAAAATATTCTTGAATTGTTTCCATTAATTCTGGTTAACTCAAGGGGAAAAAAAGTGAATACCAAAACTAAGTTGTAAAAAACATAAAGGAAATGGTTTAAATGATGTGATCATGCCTATTTTTGATACTTGCTTACACAGAGAGAAATTACACGAGACACCAGGAAAATGGTTAATGGTTAATGGCTGTTTGTGAGGGTGGATGGTGATAGGAGAAGGGGGAATGGTTTTAAACTGAGACAGGGGAGGTTTAGGTTGGATATGAGGAGGAAGTTTTTCCCCCAGAGGGTGGTGAGGCACTGGCACAGGTTGCCCAAGGAGGCTGTGGATTCCCCATCCCTGCAGGCATTGGAGGCCAGGCTGGATGTGGCTCTGGGCAGCCTGGGCTGCTGGTTGGCGACCTGCACACAGCAGGGGTTGGAGCTGGAGGAGCGCTGTGGGCCTTTGCAACCCAGGCTGTTCTAGGATTAATGCTAAACACGGTAACAGCTGATCAGACAGGGGAAGATCTGCATCCATGCCTTTCATTGCATCCTGCAGAGTGTGTACCAGCTCAAACCCCAATATCACACGTCTAAGGAACGCTTTGATGCTACTTGCCCTTTTATTTAGCTGACCACTGCAAAAGTGTAATCCCTGCATTTAAACTGTACCTGCAGGATCCTGTCTTGCGCTGCTGGAGTTTTGGGAGTCCTCAGAGCTATGCTGTTGTTGGTCACACTATATTCAGACAGAAGAGTGCTGGAGGCTGAGTTTGTAATTCCAGATTCCTCAGCAGTCTGGCGTGCAATCTCACTTGCCTGGCCTACTTTAACAACTTCTTCAAGCTCTATATCAGATATCTTTGAAAGGAAAACAACAAAACAAAGCATTATCTTTAGAAAAACAAAATCCGTATTGCATGTCAGGAGGTATTCCCCATTTGTTTTAATAACACCCTCACACCATTACTCCCTTCCCAGATATGCACTGCATTAGTGGTACATGCATGCTGAAACCAATTAAGTCATGTTTGTAAAATACCACTGTCACAAGGTACATCCCATCCCCCTGATGCAAAAGGCTCAAATACACAACGATGAAATGTATCTCCTTCAGACATTTTCCACCAAGTATACTTTAAAAATCAGTCCAAGTACAATGTCCTTAGGTAAACCTATTGCTTCTGGTCTACGTATGCCTTCCAGTAAAGAGAGAATCTCAAGGCATAGTAAGACAAATATGACTGCTAGACTAATTTGACAGAAGTAGAACTGTTGATTGGCTTTGACCTTTTAAGTGGTTTACTGAGCAATGTACTGTGTCCAGGTCTGGGGCCCCCAATAAAAAAAGGCAGGGAGCTGTTGGTGAGGGTCCAGAGGAGGGCCACAAAGATGATCAGAGGGCTGGAGCACCTCCACTACGAAGACAGGCTGAGGGAGCTGGGCTTGTTCAGTATGGAGGAGAGAAGGCTGCGGTGTGATGTCATTGCAGCCTGCAGTACCTAAAGGGAGCCTACAAACAGCAGGGGAATCAACTCTTTGAAAGTAATCATCTGAGATATATTGGGCTCATTAGAAAAGAGTGGTTTGGTCCTCTTGACAGTGATTTCCTTTGCCCCCTACCCAAACAATAAGAAATGCCCAAGGAGGCTGTGGATGCCCCATCCCTGCAGGCATTCAAGGCCAGGCTGGATGTGGCTCTGGGCAGCCTGGGCTGCTGGTTGGCGACCTGCACACAGCAGGGGGTTGGGACTGGAGGAGCGCTGCGGGCCTTTGCAACCCAGGCCATTCTAGGATTCTATTAAATGCAAAAATAGATAGCTTGCTTGATTAAACTCAACTCTTTGAAAGGGCAGATAACAGCAGGACAAGGGGAAATGATTTGAAGTTGAGGGAGGGCAGATTGAGGTTGGATGTCACGGGAAGTTGTGTGCTATGAGAGTGGTGAGGTGCTGGAACAGCTGCCCAGAGAGGCTGTGATGCCCCGTCCATCCCTGGAGGTGTTCAAGGCCAGGTTGGATGGGGCCCTGGGCAGCCTGGGCTGCTGTGAAATGGGGAGGTTGGTGGCCCTGCATGGCACAGGGGGGTTGGAGCTTCGTGATCCTTGAGGTCCCTTCCAACCAGGGCCTTTCCATGATTCTATGATTCAATGCACTGTTTACCTGAGGTGCTGGAAGCACTAGTTTACTTCTTTTTTTTGTAAACTCTGACACCCCGCTGGTCTGCAGAATAGCTGAAGGCAAGTCTGATTCTTTCTTTCGTTTCATGTGTTGTTTGTCCTTTTTGCGCTCTCTCCCCTCCCTTTCGCTGTTATTACAGACAAAAGAATCGTTTTAGAGCAGCTACAAAATAACACCAAAAACAAAGCTCTACTCTAACAAAATAGGCTGAAATGAAGCATGAGTCAGGAGGAATTATATAATTTGTGTAGAAGTGATTAGATACGGTCTATAGACCCTGCAGCAGAACCTCCAAGAAAGCAGCATAATGCTTCTACATTACAAAATTAGGCAGCAGGTGGTTGGTTGTTTCAGCTACCATCACTGAAGCAAGACAAAATGTCAGTGCAAGAACTGAGTTAGTTATAAAGTGCATGAGAACAGTCCCTGTTCCTCCAGCAGCAACTGAAGGAAGAACATTTCCTGTGGGACATGTGAACTATGTTTCCTTTAGTGCTTAATAAATATGGTATATTTTTCCAAACATCAATAGATTCAGGCTGTGAAAGTGTAATTCAGTAATCCGTGGCAGCTGGAACCTCCTAACAGATCCACTGAACTAAGAACCATACAGAAAGGATTAATTACATCACAAGCTAAGAAGCTGAACTGTATGCAGTACTGAACCTATTCTCTCAGCACAAAGCTCTTGGTAAAAGTGACAAGGAATGTAATTGAACAATTAGATACGTGTCATATGGCTTCTGCTAAAGATGTGCATTTAATCACTTATTTGAGTGTTTTGGGGCTTGTGTTGGGAAGGGAGGGGATGAAACAAAGCTTTCAAGGAAATTCTACTTAAGATTATTACATCAAAATACTCAGATTGCATCAAAAGTAATATTGCAACAAACAGAAGTTAGTTCTGTCAGCAGCACTAACGTTTGGACTTGGAGAGAGGACTCCTAACACTATGAGACAAAATAAAAAGAGCTTTAACAGAATCAAGGATTTCCATTTAAAGAGCACAGATGTGTGTAAGAACTTTGATTTTCATGGCAAAAAGGTCAACCAGATATTTTAGAAAGGCAGATGCAATCTGCACTATGTCTGTCCCATGGAAAACACAACACCTACACGCAGTATTTCAGACATTTCCTGAAACTAGCAAATTTAATTATTTATCACTACTATTATTAAATTATTGCTTATATTTTATTCATATTTATTTATTAATTATATTACTATATGACTTCTCTTTATATGTTTATATACACACCCGTGTCGATTACATCTGTATTCATGTGCTTTTACAGGTAAGCAGATAAATGCTGTTTAAGTACTTGCTTACACACTTATTTTTTATATTTTGTTTGTATCTGATAAATATATGCTCACATATAGTAAATATTATGGTAGAAATGAATTATTTTTAAGTATAATAAAATACACATATACAAGCATATACACATATATAGAAAAATAAACACACGAATGTATACACACGTGGTTTTTGTTTAACTGTTTGTGTCCCAACACACTGCTCCCTCCCAAAGCACAGCACATACTTACGATCTTAATTCTCCATCCAGGTCCTGCTGACGTAGCTTTCTGAAATCTGCATCCAGAATCTGGTAGTTTTCCTCTGATGTATCATAAAAACCAGGCGCAGGCTTCTTTTCAAACGGGATTTCTGCATTGTAATCCACACCTCTTTTCTTTTTCCTTTTTTTCTGTATCTCAATCCCAGCAGCTCGAAGTTCTCGTCTTTTCTGGAGGGCAGCAAGCCGTCTAAACAGACAGTAATACTGTGTGATTTGTAGTGCCCATCTATAGGTGGCTCCTGGATCCAAAGATCTGGGACTATTTAATCAATTGCTGCATATATTTAGACAACAGGAATTAACTTGTCCTAAGTAACTATCAAAATGTCCAATTCTGCAAAGCCTTAAGCCTGTGCCTGAATTTATGCATTCCATATGCTTCAGAGTCCATGAAACGAGTCCCAGTATCTAAAACTAAGCATATACTTACCTAGCTTCTTCCAGCTGCTTCTCTCTTGCTTTTCTTTTAGCCTTTTTTCCCTGTGTATTAGCCAGACGAGCTCTAGCTTCAGACAGCATTTCAAGTTCATCTGCAATAGCACAAATACAGCTATTAATTTTGCTCTTAAACACAGCAGTAACGAGAGAGAAAAAGCGACATTAAGATCAGCAATCTTTAAAAGCCAAAGGAATCAATGCTGTCACATGATTTCTCATTGCTACTTTTCTCCAAGCTGCTCCAATCTATTTTCTAAACAGTCAGATGAAACAAAGGTTTCAAGTAAAAATGCCTACTGCTAAGAAGAAACCAATGCAGAAAATCAAAATGCATTTAGAAAGATGCAAGCTGAATGCATGAATGAAATGAAGTAACTTCATTTGCAGCTAGATTCAGTAGCACTGTGTTGGTTAACTTGTTCTGTTTGCATTCAGATCCAAGAGCACCCTACTACTGAACCTCTGACTGTTCACCATTGGTGCATTCATGGCATTCTACCAATGGGCAATTCTTAGCTCCTAACACTGTAAAGTGCCAGGAAAATAAAAGTTGTGCTGTTTCAGTGGGAGTGTAACTAGATGTAAGGAAAAAGATGAATATACAGAAGGAATGATGTCCCCCAACAGAGCATTTGTCAAAGAAATAAAGTGCCAGTCAAAGTGACTAAAAGAAATGAGAAAGTCAGAAACATACAAAGGAAGAGAAAATGAAAAAAGTTTAACCAACTGATCAGGCACATAATTCAGATAAAACCAGAAAGAAAGAGAAAAAATTGAATCCTCTGAAGGAATTAAAAATAAGACAAAAAAAACAGTTCCAGAGTATGGAATTTGTGTAAAAAGGAAAAGCAAAGAAACCAGACAGCTGTCAGAAACAGCAAACAAATTCCTATCTTACCTTCATCCATATCAATAGGATCTGGCCTGGCTGGTTTGGTTTCTGGATTTGGATCAATTTCACCAGGTTTAAGTTTCCGAGGATCATCAGCAGTTTCTTCCTCATTGTCTCTCTGAGCAGCTTTGTCCCTAAAAATACATTGCATGCATGTTACAATGGGCTCTGTACTCCTGCAGGTGCATAACCAGACCTTTCTCAAAACTGTCCACAAATGGATCAAACTAGAAAGCTTGTATCATAAATTACACTTCTCATATAATTCATAACTGCAGAAAAGATTTATGAACACGGTAAATTCAGATAACATTAAATTAGATGAGAAGGAAAAAACAACATACTGTAATACAAGAATGAAATATTATATAAAATATAACACTGACAAAGCTGACAGCAGAGAACTCAATCAGCAGAATTAAAAAAGCTCACAAGGGAAAACAATTTTTCCTTCTCATGGTCCAAAGAAACCCTCTGTAGCACACAGAAGTGATGGCTGCACATTCAGCCATTACAACAGCATGGGTTTTCTGCTGTTTGTTTTCCTCCTCTCTCTCACATACTCACTCATGCTTATCAGAAGGACAAACAACACCCACGTAAACCTGAAACTGAAGCTCAGAAAGTGTGTCAGCCTTGACAATACTGTATTCAAGCCCATTCTCCTGAATTCCACGTGCTTCCTCCTTTGTGTTAAGCACATCAACAATACAGAAATGATTCGTAAGAGACTTGCTAGTGGAAGGACTCAGTCTACTACCAACCACCATTCTATAGCATAAATGGAGAAGAGAATGATGCATCAATACAACAAATTGTGCAGATTTTCCTGCTGTGCATCTCTAGTAAAGCAGGAACTCACAGAAGAAACTCATAGTGCTCCAAACACTGTGCGGCTGTTCTCCCAATAATCGGGGCGATGGTTCTCCACTGGGTTGGCATTAGCTTGGCCAGGTGCAACAGCTTCTCTTCTTCTTCTCGTGACCACTCTGTCTTTTTGATGCTTGGATCTAACCATTCGTACCTGTTGGAAAGCGAAAAACCATTCAGTGGGACAGTCCTGAGTCATCTATCAATTTGTCTCGAAATAATTCACTGCAGTGTTTCCTCAAATCATCACAATGAGATTTCATAGAATTATAGAATGGCTTGGGTTGAAAACCTTGCTGTGTGCAGGTCGCCAACCAGCAGCCCAGGCTGCCCAGAGCCACATCCAGCCTGGCCTTGAATGCCTGCAGGGATGGGGCATCCACAGCCTCCTTGGGCAACCTGTGCCAGTGCCTCACCACCCTCTGCATGAAAAACTTCCTCCTCATATCCAACCTAAACCTCCCCTGTCTCACTTTAAAACCATTCCCCTTGTCCCATCACCACCCACCCTCACAAACAGCCGTTCCCCCTCCTGTTTCTGCGCTCCCTTCAAGCACTGGAAGGCCACCATGAGGTCTCCCTGGATCCTTCTCTTCTCCAAGCTGAACAAGCCCAGTTTCCTCAACCCTTCCTGATAGGAGAGCTGCTCCAGCCCTCTGATCATCTTGGTGGCCCTCCTCTGGACCCACTCCAGGAGTTTCACATCTTCCTTGTGCTATTACTTTCAATCAATAGGAACGTGTGTTATTCACAAGAGAAGTAATCAAACAATCTCCAAACTACAGTTTCACTGCAGACAGAAATTCATCTGCAGTTACTTCTAAATTGCCACTAATTATGAATCCAATTCTCCCAGTTGTGGAGTTCCCCACTTACCATCTGGCTTTGCACTGCTTTGCTGATTTCCGATGCAGTAAGGAAGCAATACGAGACCACTGGTTTTTGCCATATTTCATCACAGCTGCTTTCAGAATTTCATCCTTAGAACGAAAAGAATGCATGTTGTTATGAAGAATGACAACTGGCAAAATGGCAAGTTTGAGCTCAAGAAGACAACACAACGGGTTTCATCTAATGGGCTGCCCAATTGGAACAGCATAGCATCACTCCTACACATTTTACTGTCCAGGTACATGAGGATTTGCATTCCAGAGACCACTAAAATCAGTAAGAAGACAAGGTATGAAAAAGGTGAGGGATGGTTACCATGGTCTACTTCACAAGTCTCCTGGAATGATTGGTTTCAATGCTCTCTTATGCAGTTTTTAAAGGCTCTGTACATCTTCCTTGAGTAACAGAGGTGAAGAGGTAGAGAGGTGCTTTTGGCAGTTTGGTAATGATAAAATAAAATGACATGCCTCTGGGTGGCTTCTTTTAAATAATACCATAACAACACCTTTTTTTTGGCATAGGTTAATTTAATTGAATATGGTGTTACAAAAACAAGGAACTTTGTCTACCTTGAAATATATCACCTCAGTGTTTAGAATGCTACATGCTGAAGAGCAGATCCCAAAGCCCACAGACTTAGAGGGGAAAAAAACAGAATAGGAGCCAGGCTGCCCACATGCAACAAATTATGCACTGAGATCTGATCAAAAGCTACATATCTTATCTTATCAACTGTCTTTCAATCCACCCATCAGCCCCTCTCTCTTCTTTTCCCTCAAATAAGCAGGTTCACAATTTCTGATAACCTCACAGGTCAGAAAGTGATACTTAAGTGCACCAAAGCTATTTGCACAGCCTTCTACATCACAGATGTTCCTCTTCTAAATCCTAATAAGCGCTTGTAGCTGTGCTCAGAATCTGTTCAGCTGCACGGTGCAGATGCTGCTCGTCAGGGACAGATCCTCTGTCTAGCACAAACAGCTCTCAGAGCACAGAAGCACACAGCAGCTTTAAGTCCAGCCGATGATGAGCTCTGGTTTGAGCTCCTGCAGGAAATAATTCATAAATTATTTCTATTTATAGAACAGCATTACCAAACATCTCTAAATCCTTCCTTGGCTTCTGAATTTTCCCTTGTGTTACATGGCAATGCAAAAGCCATACAGACTACAATAGTGGTGGGTGCTTTTGCAAACAACCAGCCATCTTCCTAAGGACCCGATACCACCCTGTTCCACTTGGAGCATTTTTAATGCTGCACATAGAACCACAATGTTAATTAAATAGCACTAAAAATGCTATTTCATCTCTGGAGCGAAACAAAGATCTATATGACCTACTGCTGTTTCTTCTAACAATTCTAGATGACCACAAAAAGAGAGTAAGCACCCTCTGCAGACCTCCAATTTAGAAACAATTAACAAGCTGCCATACACCTCAAGTGCTTAAGAGCCTATAAAGTACATAATATATTTATCTTTCACTGATTCTTCTCATTGCTTTCTGAAATCACATACAGATTTGATCTTTGCAGTATACTGTTGCAGAATTCTGGATTATACAGTGTCAAGTACCTCCTTTACCTCTGAACACCTAATAACAAATTTTTACATCCCCGAAATGTGCTATTGCTCTCTTTCTCACAACCATGTGCAGTTCTGAAAGCATGTGGTGGCAAAAACGAGAGCAAGGGAGTTGTGTTTTGTTTGTTTTATTTTTCTGAAAGATGTAGATTCTTACGGATAAAATACTCTGGGCTGCAGGTGATGAGCTCATAGCCATCCTCATTGTTTTACAGAATCATAACATGATTGAAGTTGGAAAAGATCTCAAAGATCATGAGGAAGTTTTTCCCCCAGAGGGTGGTGAGGCACTGGCACAGGTTGCCCAAGGAGGCTGTGGATGCCCCATCCCTGCAGGCATTCAAGGCCAGGCTGGATGTGGCTCTGGGCAGCCTGGGCTGCTGGTTGGCGACCTGCACACAGCAGGGGTTGGAGCTGGAGGAGCGCTGTGGGCCTTTGCAACCCAGGCCATTCTGTGAGTCTATGATCATCTAATACAACAGTCAGCCCACCTCCACCATACCCAGTAACTACGTCCCTCAGTGCCACATAGAATCATATCACCTATCATATCACGTCTACACATTTTTTTAAAACTTCCAGGCAGAGTGACCCCACCACCTCCTGGGCAGCCCGTTCCAATGTTTCACCACTCTTTCAGAGAAGAAATTTATCTTAATATCAAGCCTGACCTTCATCTGGCACTACTTAGAGCTATTACCCCTGATCCTCTCACTGTCTCCTGGAAGAAGAGGCCAGGCCTCACCATGCTACACAGTCTTTCAAAGAGCTGTAGAGAGTAACAAGGTCACAGAACCAGAGAATGGCCTGGGTTGAAAAGGACCACAATGTTCATCTAGTTCCAACCCACTGCTATGTGCAGAGTAACCAACCACCTGACCAGGCTGCCCAGAGTCCCACCCAGCCTGGCTTTTGAATGTCTCCCCTGAGCACTCATTTACACATTAAGGGCTTTTAGGTCACATTCTCACCCCCTCCAACCACCTTCGGGGTGCAACAACTCTGCCTACACACTATTAGGCCCGCTCCAGCCTGAGAAAAGGACATCTGCGGATGCAATACAACCCATACACGTCCCCCAGCCGCTGCTGAGGACAAGGGTCTGGAGAACAAGATACGTGAGGAGTGGCTGAGGCAACCGGGTGTGTTCCATAGCAGAGAAGGAGCTGAAGAGCAGCACTGAGCTCTACTGACAGCGACAGAGTTGGGCCAGGTACGCTAGCAGCAGTCTGTGCCCCGAGCTGCCTACTGCGCATGCGCACCACCACCCCTCCGCCCACGCCTGCGCACCGCTGCAAAGCAGCTACCCCCTTCCTCCCCCCCCACCCCACACACACACACACACACCACACACAAACCGCCGGGGCCCAACCGAACGAACCGAGTCCTACCTCGGTGTTCCGCCACACACCGCCTTTAATCATAATCCGCGGCATCTTGGCGGAGAAGGGGATCGATTTCCTGCGGAGAAAAAGCGGCGATGGGAAAAGAACGCCGCTCTCTACGGCGGGGCCGGCCCACCCTCGCGCAAGCGCCGCTGGCACTGCGCGCAGGCGCACAGGCGTGAGGGCGCGAGGGGGAGGGAGCGCGGTGCGTGCGCATGCGTATTGCGCGATGGAACAGAGGTGGGGAGCTCTGCGCATGCGCCGCAGCCTCCTGAGGAGAGGTGCCTCTCAGCCCCTGAGGAGAGGGGGCGGGTTGAGCGCGGGCTGATCATCGCCCCGTCAGCTATTTATCCTATTTATGTGCGTCTTCAGTGCTGACTGCTGGCTCCTTGGGTCGAACGTGCCGCCGTAGCGCCCTAGCTTCCTGGGGAAAAGCAGCCCGAGATTGGGCGCTATCAAGATCAACCTTCTGCTTTTTCCAGTGTACGACTGCCTATCGCATCACACAGTTGTGTTCACAGCAAAATAATACACGCTTTGATTACAAAATCCATCGTGATTTTGGACAGGCTCCGGCTCCTGAGCACACAGCCATTTCAGCCGTTCCCCCCAAAACAAACGCAGGCGCAGAACAAAGCAAACTATGCTTTTATTTTAAAAATAAGCACACTTTTGCCTCCAAACGTCTCTGAGGTGGAAGACAGAGAATCATTTCTGCCCCAAACGTTAATTACTAGCAGCAACCACCTGCAATAACGATGCTTGACAACCTTGAGTTCCACCTGCAAATATCTTCTTGCCCCCATCTGCAACTAAACAAAACTTCTGCTCTTTACAAACTCTTTAAAAATTTGGATCCTTCATGTATGTACAACATACTTATAAAATGCTGCTTTCCTCCAGATTTAGCTTTCCTAGCCTTACATGTGTGGGCTTCCAATTCTCTTCAGTGCTTCTGTTTCTTCTTCGCATCTGTTCTTGTGATGCTTTCTTCACCTGAGCAGAATCAAGATTAAAAAACCTCCAAATCTGCACAACAGTGTTCTTGTTGCTTCCCAGGAACACCTCCATTTATCCCTATTAGGATATTGTTTCTCACAACAGTGTTGGCTGGTTGGCTCAGTCACATTAAGATCTTCATTGTCCTCCCACTTCCAAGCTTATCGTCAGAACATCAATCCATGCGATTCCATCCACCTCTGAAAAACTGTTTTCCTGCACTACCAGAAAGTCACTGCAAAATATTATCTGTGCTTGTAAAGAAAATCTTAAGTTTGAGAACAATAATAAAAGCAATGGCAATTTCACGTTTAAATTCTCTAAATTAAGCTACAGGCTTATTCTGCTGTTTTGTGGGATGAACTGTAACATTAGGAAAAATGACCACCACTCCTTTGCAGTTCTTTTTGCACACAAGAGGGTAATAGTGCTTTCATAAATACCACTGAACATACATTCACTGCTGTCCAGAGTTTCAAGCACAACATCACTTTTAAACATGCAAATATTTGAAGTTTGAATCTTTATCATGCAATACAACTGCAGTTTGACACAAGTGGTCCCTTAGATGTATTCTAGATGCACAGCAAACCTTTTTAACAACCTAAGTTTTACCGTTCAAAGACTGGACCAGACAATCTTACAGGTCTCATCCAACCTTAAGGATTCTATGATGGTGTTTTCAATTTACACTGTCAGCAAATATTTACATCAGCAGAAAGGATCTTCAAACAGAATGACATAGTGTATTTTAAGAAACAAAGAGTACAGTAATTACTAGTCTGAGAAAAGACAAGGCATTTCATACTAGAGTAACAATTAGACATCTCCACAAAGTTTGTGAAGGTTAACTTAAGGATTTTCAGTATCATAAAATATTTCATTAAGAGAAACATTACTATTCCTGTGAAACTACTGAAAGAATTATCAGGAGCAACTACAGACATAATGAACTACCTAAAAACATTTTACATTTATACACATACAGAAAATACTTCTGCAGCACACTTAACCTGTGATGACATTACTATTTTGTGAGATACAAACTTGTTCTCTTGTTAAGCATTACGGGAGAGCCTGGCAGCAAGGAACACAACTTGGAGCAGGTGGGAGTAAGCTTCAAATCATACTAATAATTCTTAACTGAAAAACGATTACTATATGATACAGTGTGAACTTTTATCCCTTCTTTTAAGCATTCCTGCAGTTAGACTTGTTTTTAAACATGAAAGGAAGTGGCATAAAACTGTTTATGCTGATGAACACAGGCCAATTCATAACTCTGACCTTACAGAATAACTTTTCAGCTATGCAGGTACGAAGAGGTGTTCCAATGTCTTGAGCTCAGTCTTCACTAGAAATAAGTTCACAGCAGAACCTGGAGCAAAGCAGAATTCTGAATTGCACTCCTGACCACAACACTGGCTTTGTCCACTAACAGCCACATTTCTAGGTACAGCAAGGAAATGTACAGAAATAAATAAACCTGGGACATGCAAAGCTCTCTAGAACTGAGCATTAGCTTGCAAACCCCAAGCTTACATTCTAAAATTATATTGCTACTTATGATTTTCTAAAAGCTTCTTACTGGACATCACATTACACTTGCTGCACTTTTGTTTTTTTTCTTTTTATGCATTTTTACATGCTTTTGGAAAGCACATTTATCTACTGTAGAAAAATCACACTTCCTGCAGTGAAACTTCACATGAACCAGCAAGTGGCGCTTCAGGTGGCTGGACGTGCGGAAAGCAACACCACACTGCCCACACTTGAATGGCTTCTCCCCCGTGTGAATTCTCAGGTGCTGCTTGAGGTTTCCATTGTGAACTGTGATATAGCCACACTCTTCACACGTGTACGTTTTGACAGGTAGTGGCTTTTGTTCACTGAGAGAGCCAGTAAATGAGCTTTCATTCGCAGCGTGCGAAGCCAGATGCTGTTTTAAGGACAGCCATTTGTTTGTTGAATAGTCACACTTCCTGCACTTGAGATGCTCCGTATTGCAATGCAGGACTTGGTGCCGTTTCAAGTGACTGGAGGTACGAAACTCCTTCTGGCAAACGCTGCAGCTGTAAGGTTTCTCACCTGTGTGAGTCCTTATGTGTAGTTTGAGGTTGCTTAAGATGTAAGTAGAGTACTCACACTCTGCACACTGATAGAATCGCGGCTCACTCTGCGCTAGCAAATCATCTTTGTCTGCCTTGGTATCTGTCTGTTCTCCATACATTCCTGACCCAAGCATCGAACAGACTCCACTGAAACTCTGTGAGGAGACAAAATCACTTTCTGGACACGTGCCTACCTGCATTTCATGATGCAATCCAAGATTCTCCAGATGGCTGTCTGCATAGAAGTAATGGCTGAATTCATATTGATCGTTAACATGAAGCAGCCTGTGTCTCTGCAAACGGTTTGAAGTTTTAAAAGTCTTGTTGCATTCCTGACACACAAACTGTCCTTTGTCAGCATGTATTTTAAGGTGCTGCTTAAAGTTGCTATGAAGAGCAGTAGCATAATCACAGTGTTTACACTTGTACAGTTTGAACACAGACAAACTGGAAGGCCACATATCCTTGGACTTACAATATGCAGCATTGTTTTTACTGTCTTCAATTTGCGAATGAGAGGTTTCAGGACTGAAGAGAGGGTCTTCTTTGTAAACTACAGTGCTCACTTTGTACGAATCCTGAACTTCTGATCTACTCCCAAAAATAGGTGAAATGTTCTTGAAGTGGCTGTTTTTGGTAAACGCCCTTCCAGGGCACATTTTCTTATTGTCCTGCACATCACCTGCCTGCACAAAGTCTATTTTTGAAGCCAGAGTTTCACACACTCCCCCAGTGAGACTATCCTCTTCATTAGAAAGAGGTCCAGGAACACAGCCCTTAGAATCACTTTCAATTTTGCATCCTTCGCTTTTAAGATATTCATTGCTCTGATTCATATAAGCATTAGCACTCACCTTGAGCTGTTCATGGCATTTCTTATGAAAACTGAGATGACCTCTAGTATAAAAAAGTACGTTACATTCATCACAGGTGTAATTCTTGGAAGGTTTCCGAGTTCTCTTTCTTCCACTTCCAAAGCTGACTTTGCACGGTTCCTCACTCATGTGCAATCTTCTGTGCCTCTTTAACCCATGGATGCTTGTAAATGCTGACTGGCAGAACTCACAGGAATATGGTTTTGGCCCTGTGTGCATGTAGCTGTGCCTAACCATGCTGGCAAAATACAGTGAAAAAAAGGTGCAGAACCTGCACTTGTACAGCTTATAACCAGCATGCCAGTACATGTGATTTAACATGTAAGATAAGGTAGGACAAGAGTAATCACACTGAGGACACTGGTAAGGTGGTCTCTCTTTATGTGCCTTCATGTGATGAATAAAAATCCTAGGATTTGATGAATCAAAAAAGCAAAGTTTGCAGGAAAAAATAACTGGGACGCCCAGAGACGTAAAATCTCTTTCAATTTTGATGAAGTATTTCTCATATTTACTTTCTTTTTTCTTTCTTTCCAGCTTTCTTTCTTCAGTTCTTTGCCTAACTCTTCTAGCATTCATTTTATTTTTTCTTTCCTTTTGCAACTTATTCATCTTATGAAGCTTAAGGTGGTTCTTCAGGTTGACAGAAAAGAAGAAGGTTTTTTTACAAAAGCTGCATTTATGTGTTTTTTTATTTTTATGAGCTGAATAAATGTGCCTCTTCAGAAGTGCAGAGCTTTTATATGCAGAACTACAAAATTTGCAATTAAAATTGATTTTATCATGCTTATCAGTAGAACAAGATGCTTTAGGAAGAGGTTTGATGCTCATGCTATGACTTAGCCATGCTAAATCTTCTTGCTGGCCTTGAATTTCATTTGGCCTTTCACGAGGGGAAATGATACGTTGCTGCCGACATCTTTTCTTACAAACAGGCGTTAATGACTTATAAATATGTTCTTCAGGAGTAGCTGATACTGCAGAAACAGAAGCATTTATCTCCAGTTGCCCTGCATCTTCTTGCAATTCTTCTTTAGTAGAACATCTATGAATAAACTGATCGAAACTCAGTTCTGGTTCTTCTTTCAAACCATGCTGCAAAACACAACTCAGAGTTTCATCCTCAGATTTGCTTCCGTTCTTTGTTTTGCTGTTAGCTTCATTATTTCCATTC